AATAATGATCTTTAAAAAAGCATCATATGACCCCTTTAAAATTTCTCAATGGTAGTGTAAAAAAACATTCTTTTACCTTGTCAAAATGAGCTCTGTTTTCAGCACGTCGTTCTAGTCCATGTTGCTTTAAATGCTAATGAGCTCTGCTGACCCCGCCCCTCTCTTCTGTGGGGTGACCAGCAGTACTGTTTACTTTAGCCGCGAAACTCGCTAACTAGCGCATATTAGGAAAGGCAATTTGCAAAGATTAATAAAAAACCTTATACTCACTTCTTGTGTAGATGAAGCTCGATCACGAATGATTCGCGCGAATATAGACGCATTTAGGCAGATCGGGGATCAAATTTTCCCTTCAAAACGAAAGTAAGGTTAATCCTCTGCGTCTTTAGCGGCTCAGATGACGGGGATAAATGACGACTGCTATGTTCATTATTACATTCAACAACAAAACACCTCAATCGCTTAATCGGAGACATTCTTGTCTTCCCCTGAACCGGAGTCGACACAATGGTGGACTGATTACAGCTCACTCAGGGCGGGTCGAAGGTAAGACGGCCTTGTCAATCAACTATCGTGGGAGGGGCCTGTGCAGAACTACGTCATTCTGACAGGAATCTCAGAACAGCCTAATTTGAGAAAGGGGATTTAAAAAAAACCACTGGGTGGCTTTTTATCATTATAGGATGGATGCTTACACTCACATCCAACACACATTTATGTTCAAACAACAACAAAAGTGAATTTTGCATCCGATGACCCCTTTAAGAGATGAAACTTTCATGTTACAGTGGAAAAATACTTGCGCACCTTCAAATAATTTTAGGGATGCATGTTTTTGTAATGGACATTAAAAAAAGTCCATTTGAGCTTTCTCTTCATCATATTTGATGTGTTCTATGTATGTGCCTTGATCAGTGTTTACATATAAATAAATACTTTAATTAAATCTGTTCATATATAAAGTGATCATGTCTCTTCAGAAGACTTTACTTCTACATTGTCTTTATAAACTTTTTGAAGCTTGAAATCTTTGCATGGACTTTCAATGGATGGACAAAGATTATGATTGAATATTAAAAATATCTTGTGTTTCTAAGATCAATGAAAGTCCTCATGAGGTGAGTAAATGATGACCCTTTAAGATTATCCACAGAAATTGTGTGTGTGTGGCCAAAACGTTATATAAATATTTGAATGTGTATAAAAGTTGAACTCACCCTTGGTTTGGCCAACTCCTTGACCTTCTCCATTTCTTTTTCTGATATAATATCATGGTAACGGATGATACGTGGACGATCCCATTCATCCTCTTGTTTCACTGGGCCGATTATGTAAAAAGGATGTCTGTTACTGTTGTAGTAACGGCAGAGCAAACGTCTCTGTCTGCGAGGGCTCTGTAAGATCGAGAATTTATTTACATATTAGACAATTCATTTATATCTTGGCCATGACAAATAAATAAAATGGTTGGTATTTCATGCTCTTTCACAGCATTACAAGTTGGTTTCAACATGATGAACCAGGTAGGCACTGTCATGGAAAAACTCATTCGCTAGTTGCCTAAAGCTATGTAAGTGCCATCTCACTAAAGCATTTGAGTTTTTTTATGACTTATTTTTGCAGTATGCATTGGGCTTTGGTCGACTGAATGGACAAAAATAGAGCTTTGTGTTATGGCCGTATTACCACCTTGGGTGTGCATAAATAATTTAAAGTCCTGTCTTTAATAATTAATTACCTCATATACCTTTATAAATAAGTCAAGTTACATCAATGCAAAGTAAAAAAAAACAGCTGAAATGGCTGAATTAGGTGGCTGAGGAGCTAGAGCTGCACTGATATATTAAAAATGAATCAGCTAATGCATCAGCATTTCGTGCTTAATGTGACATTCTAGTGAATATTTACGTTAATGCAGCCATTACAGTATTTTATTATTCACCATTCTGACTCCTTGTCCTCTACATAGCTGCTCGTATTTCCTCTTTTCAGGGAGATATTCCCCTTTCCCAACCGTCTTTTCTTGTTCTTTCTTGCTCTCTTCCTTGACACTCTGCTCCTTCTCAGCCTTCTTCTGTTTGGCTAGCTGGTATTCAAAATACTTTAGGTTCCCAAGTGCTCGCTGGTGCTCAGGATCTGTACGGGAGAGATAAATGTGTTAAACATTTTGTAATAGTTTGGACAACTGTTGAATGTCTCAAATATCTCTAATAGTCAACATTTAAGCAACAGCCGAGGAACAGTTTTTCTGTCAAATATATTGCAATATGAAAAATGCACTTGATTTTTTGAACATATATATTTAGAAAAGCATATATTATATTATATAAATCACAGTCTGCACGATTTGACAATCACACTAAGCCATATTGTGATATGATTTATATTGAGTATTGTAGATCAGACTAACCCACACTCAGCAGTCTCTTGGTATGGTTCAGAGCTCTTTCCAGCTCCCCCTGCTGGTAGACTGAGTAGCTGAGGTAGTCCAGCACTGTCACAGTTTCAACGCTGGATTCTTCTCCTTCATCCAGTTGCTTGAGAGCCTGGGCCATCCATAACTCTGTATGGTAGTAGTCTGCTTCAGAATAGGCGATTTTTCCCAGCTCAAAACAATCCTCTACCGTCATGGTGCTTTTAAACGGCAAGCCTGTAGTAACACCTACAAGAAAACATGCAATGAGATGTCATACAAATGCAAAAAAGGTATATCTGAAGTATGTTTGGAAAGAGAAGAGCTCATGCTCACCAGGCAGGTCTCCAGAAGAGATGATCTGTGTGTCCAGTTGATAGGTGTCCTGCAGTCGGAGGAGAGCTTTGGCTGCACCGGTCTGGTCTTCATCATTAGGGAAATACTGACGTTGAATAGTCAGGTTTGAGATAAAACCTAGAAGAAAATATGTTTATCTTTTAATAAGAAAAAAATATATAATAAGAACATCTTGAGTGTACAATCACTAGGACACGTTTCTCAATACATAGGTCACTTTTTTAAAACTCAAACAACTTTAAGCTTGGCACAACAACAAAAATTTGCATCCAAAATGCACTAAAACTACCATACATGTTTCAAATCAACTCATCCTTCCATAGTCATATCTAATTTAACTGAAAGTGCTGCTCCTCTCTACAGAGCAGACGGAGCGAGAGAGAGAGGTGTGCGCGCTGTGAAAGCAAGATCTTGCGCTCGTGTGGCAGTGAGTCAAAGAGACTCGCTAAGGTTTGTTCGCTTTTTTGGAAAAAAGTCACTTAGGTGGGTATGAAACGTTGCTAAATCTAGTGAAAAAAAGTCGCTAAGTT